GATGTCTTGAAACTTATTTACATGCACAATTTCACATCTAGACACAAGCCTGAATATCAAGCTTTACCCATCACAATGAATAACTCAATATACACACTAGCAAGTAAAAACCAGCAATCTAAAAGCAAGGGCTATTGTGTACTGAAATTGCTTTTAGACAATCTGGCAGATGGTACTTCTTTATTACCTAGAAAATTTTCCTGGGGGAAAACATACCAAATTACTAGGGGGGAAAAAAGAAGAAGAGGAAGAAAAGTTAAATGGTCACACAGAATTAGCTGTACATCTCGGTCCTGGCCGCACAAAGCCCCTGCTAAGCCAAGCCAGTCAGCCGTGAACATTTGCATATGTTAAAAATTGCCTACTGCATTATGCCTGCACTAGGCCAATGAGGGCTCATCTAATCATGTAATTGAATAAGACAGGGCCACCTAATGCATGTATTCATTAATTTAGATCCACCTTGCACCGTTGCGTGAATTTATCTTTCAGAAATGGTCTTTGATCCATAAGCCCTGAGACGTATATGTCAAACACTCCCAGTGTTCCTGACATTTCCCCAAATCCCCCCTCCCACCCCATCTCTCTCTCCCTTCCTCCGTCTGTCCCTCTCTCTCTCTCTCTCTGACCCCACCCCAGTTCACTGCCAAAGAATAATGGAGGTGGAAAGGGCTCTGAAGAGGCTCTAATTCAACCTCCTCATTAAACAAAATAATAAAACAACGGCCTGATGTTATCCAGCAATGTCATACAAGTCCAGGTACTTAAAGGATATTCCATATTTTTCCTTGGCTCACACTATGACAGAGTAAAAGATAAGCATGATATAGTCTAATGTTCTTAAAAAAACCCCATACAACAAGCAAACAATAAAGGGTACTGCACCAAGTGGGTAGAAAAACATAGAACAAAAGATAAAAATGGTCAGGTGGAGATTGGTGAAACCCTAAGATGATGTATGGCTCTCAGTCACCCCTCAATCCTGGGAAAAAATCTCAGCCCACAGCTCAACTTTGCAGGAAACAATGAACAGGCATGTACTGTACGGGTGAACAGTAATGTCAAGGAGTCCATATGCCTTGGAGCAACTGGCACACAAGATCAAACAGAAAGCCTCTGTCCAGGGAGAAAGTATCTAAGGAAGAAGGGGCAGAAGACGAGGACGACAGCGAGGAAAACTACAGGGAACGGCCGTGTGGTCGGCCTTGTGCATGTCAGAATCAGCATCAACACAGCACACGTGAGTGGCTGAAGGGAAACCAAGTCCCTCTGTAAAGCGCCACCCACATCACAAGCATACTGTTTAAAATGAGATAAATGCACTTTTCATATACCTTCATAGAGTTTCAGTAAACAGAAAACCGAATTAAAATAAATGTTCTCTTTTAAAACAAAATCACTTAAAATGTATCTCAATTTGTCCTACAAATGCAAGATTCCCATAAACACTCAAAAAATTTGTCCCATGATCTGTTAGTAAAAGTACTGGATGTCAACACAGGAACAAAAGCTTTTTTTCCTGCTTTGGCTTCCCTGGGCAATTTCACATCTGAAGGCTGAGAGACAAAGAAGCGGCAAGTCTCATTCTCAAGCCAAGCTCTTTGGATCAGGATCACCCCAGTTCCGCAGAAGGAGGGCCTGGCAACCCGACCACGCAGCGCCCGGCGGGGCTGATGGCCCTTAGTGACTCTTCCGAGAGCCAAAGGGTGACAGAGACCGGCCACATGCTCGCCTTTCAGAAAACGGCACAAGTTACTTCACAAGTCAGGAAGGGTTTCCAGCTTTAACCAGGGCACATGCCCTAGGCTGGCAGGCACCAACTGAAAAGGACACAGCTTTGTATCCAGCTGCCAAGTTAACTGGGTGGCAGGGAATTGAGGGGGGAACAATCCCACAAATTATGCATGGAAGGATGTGGGGTGAGGAGTCAGGGGAAATGCAATGAGCTAATGTTCCTAGCTGGCATCTGCCTTTTGACTCAGAGGAAGAGATGGCGCCTGTCCAACATTTTTTCTATTATTGTGGCATCAGCTGCCTCTTACGCTTGTTTATAAGAGCTGCGGCCGCCAACAGTCTAAGACAAATTTTCTCTTAATAGTACTAAATGTTCAAGCCCCTTTAACTAATAGGGGTTTCAATATTTCTTCTACAAAGGCTACTTTGATATTATTACTCCCAGCATGGACTTTAACACTTGTAATTACTGGCCAGGTATTATTTTTAAAAATTGTATGATAATTTGGACTTAGGAGGAGGGATTGAATAACAACGAAAGAATTTTTTTTCTTTTACGTTTCAAAGAGAAAAGCAAATTGGAGGGGAGGAGTGGGCACAGAGAAAAGGGAAACAATGAATGAATGGACATCCAAAGTCTCTGTAAACGGTCATTAAAATAAATTTAAAATTAAAAAATTTCTATAATAATAATAACAATAGCAAACTCCGAGGTTACATATTACTGCTCTGAACCCTTCATTTTCTCTTCTAACATCTTTAGTAGAAGAACTATTGGAAGAAAACTGACATTGGATGTTTCTTGGTCAACTGGTATATCAAATACATTTATTAGGTGGCCCTTTCAAATAAGTAAAAAAGTATCAGTGATTGTTACACTAGTAGGTCTTTCTTCTGAAAACTTGGGAACCAAGAGGAATGAATTAAGCATTCATCTGGCTTTCTGTGAAGAACGAGGGTTTCTCCTCATTTCATGAGGGCATGTTCTTTACAGAAAGATGACAATAAATGTATAAGGAATGACATACTCTAAAAAGGAACACTTCCTACTTCCACTTGGAATGTAGAGAACTGTAGAAAGCATTCATCCAATCCTCGCAGTAAACACAAGACAACCTGAAAATGTAACCATTTTCTGGAAACATCTAGGGCTGAAGAACCACCAATGAGACTGAAATATCTGGGAAAATACAGGTGTCTGTCAATTTGCTGTCCTGAGGTAACTTGGAGTTGCTGGGATGCTGAATGTTGTGCCACTGGTGTGTCAAATGCCATCATGGTTACTCATGGTGGATGGTGATTGAGACAGATTAAGACAGGCTTGGCAGCAGGAGTGGCATCCACTTCTTAAACAACATGCTTCTGGAAACTCTAAGAACTAAGGAAACAATGACAGAGTCCAGGTCTTTTGTTCACAGGGTCGCTCAACTTGACGGCTCAACTCGAACTTTACTCAACTTCACAGCATTAACAATGACTTTAAGGAGAAAGGGTTGGAGAAAGGCTACAGGAGGCTTACTTGGTGTGGAGTACTGGACATCAATAAAAAGAACCATTAACAAATTGAAAAGACTAAGGAGGAAGACCCTTGATGAGATGGATAGATTCGGTGACTAGGGTAATGGGAGTAGTAGGTGTGTCAGAGACAGTGAGATTGGCACAGGACAGAGCAGGGTTTAGGGCTCTTGTATATCGGGTTGCTGTGAGTCGCAACTCAATGGCATATAACAATAACAAGAAGAAGAAGAAGGAGGAGGAGGAGGAGGAGGAGCTAGCAAGGAACATCGTACGCCTGGGGCTGCAGACCCAGAGAAACTGACACCTTCTTGCAGGCTCAGACCTCACCTGAACCTCACCAAAGAGACTGCTGTGAGCTCAGACAGAGAGGCACTCCTGAGGGAAATGACAGTGGCAACTGCACAAAAGGTATGAAACCCTGCTCAGGTCCTATTGTGCCACCCTCCTCTGCTTCCCAGATTTAACTAACTGCCTGGAAGAAAAGCAAAAACACTGCTTTCCTTAGAGGACAGGTGAACACTGATTGCTCTTTAGAGAAAGGCAAGAACATCAAGGTAAAAACCAGAGAGGAACAACTACTAGCCTCTAAACTGCTAGAAGGAGAATACAGACTGTGGGGCAAAAACTTCTCCAAGTCACAGCGCCAAGAAAGGCACGAAAGTAAAGCGCCAGCTGATTTTAAGTCTCTCTCTCTCTCTGCACATCCTCTCTCATGTGACACCAGCTTGCAGGGCTTGAAGCCCACAGATTTCAGAACACAAAACCTTAAAGATCTGGTGTAAAAAACAATGTATACAAACTTTGTAAGTAAACCAGTTTAAAATAAAAAAAAAGAAAAAAATATTACCAGCTATAAAGAGAGACTTTTGCACTTGCCATTATGAGAATGGATTCAGTTCTCTACAAAGATGCCTCACCTCACCTCATATTGTGGATGGAGTTAATAACAGAACTTAAAATTGCATGTGGCAAAACCTGATAGAAATGAAAGGAAAAATGGAAAAACAAATGCAGTTTTGTCAATGAATGTTTTTAAGGGCATACGGAATTAGTTCCAAGGAAACTGATACAAATAGATATGCAGGCCATTTCCAGTAAGGGAGACTAGCAAAGAAGTAGCTTTACACATTACTATCACTGATTATAACTTTATTTTCTCAGACACGTTTCAAGATTGTCTTATTAAGTACAAGAAATTAAAAAAGACCTTTTTACCAACATAGTTATTAGTTTAGTCTTTTCCAAAGAAAAATATTTGGTTTGAGTTCGGTTACTTTATAAAAACTGTGACTAAGTTTGAATTGTTATTAAACTGTCTAAGTTAACAGTTATTAAATGTAGATAAAATAGTAGTTTGTGGGCAACATACACGGAGTGACATTCAGACTCATTTATAAGTATGGATCCCAGTATAAGTATCTTTTTTTCAGGCACTTAAAAATAATTTTGCTGTTTTGTTTCCAAGTTTCTTCACTTTAGCACTGGGTGCAGTAGGATACTTTTAAAACAGTTCTGTAAAAAAAACAAGCTACATTCACAATACATACACGTCTGTCACCTTACGATCTTCAGTTGCTGTGTAAACGGCATCACACCCTAGTCTCTGTACTCACAATCACACTTACTTTTTCATCGACATACACTTTTCCTAAACTCTTTCACATTTAACTGGCTACAAATACCCCTTTTTCAGGCCACTTCCCACGTGAAGTGTGCTTCAGACCAGATGCCGGGCGCAAGGGTCCCACCTCGGTCCTGGAGGCTGGCTCTCAGCGCTCTCTCCAGCTGCTCCTCCTCGCTCAGCCCTGCTGTGTATGCCTCATAGTGTCGGGGTGCCTCGGGGTGCCGGGGGGCCTCGTGGTGCCGTGGTGCCTCGTAGTGCCGGGGTGCTTCTCCATAGTAGCCTGGTCTGTCGTATGGATAATGGTCCTGATACCCGGAGTAGCCTAAAGGCACAATGAGAAGGTTAGAGAGCATGGAAGGCACTGTCTTCTGTCTTCTGTCTCCTACTCCCTATTTTGTACCATTAAAGTTAAGACAAGAATCCAAGTTACTGCTTGGAGAACTGTGAGAATCTTCCGCAGGACAGGAGAACCTAAGTGGAGAACGGCTCCGTGAGGGCAGACGGCGGGCCTTGTCAAGCTGTGTCCCCCGTGGCCAGGGGCAGCAGGCAGGAACGACTCCTTGGGCTGCACACAAGAGAAGGTGCTGACACAGATGACTTGGGGAGAAACTTGGGAGCCTGGGGTGGGTGGGATAGGGGGTGCCAATGGTGCTCGGCCGCTAACCAAAAGGGGAGGCACCTGAGTGGCAAGAAAGGTGGCATCACAAGCAATGTATTGTATCATTCGCTGAAAAGTCACCAGTTCGAATCCACCATCTCTCTCTCACCAGCCACCTATCTTGCTCTCCCAGGAGAAAGACAGGCAGCGTCCCCTGTACGGACTGACTGACAGCCTGATGGAATGTAACTAGGAGGCAGACTCCACAGCTGTGAAGCTGATTTCTGTGGGCAGATAGAAAGTGAGGGGTTCTGACTTCCCTTTCTCTGGAAACTACTATCACTAAGCAACTTTTTGATAGGTGCATTGCCCATCTGGATAGATTCTTTTGAAAAATGTCTCTGCATCTGTTTAGATGTTCTGCCCATTTCTATTACTATTTTTCTACTTCTCCAGCTTGGTTCTGACTTCTCAAAAGTCCTTAAGGCACACAAGTGAATCATTTACATAAATACTACATAAAATTGCTCAGCTCTGCAGGGGCTAATTCTAAAAAGTCTTGTTCCTAATGTAATAAAAATTGGCGAGTACTACCAGGCACTAGTGATTCCACAGTGGGGCTCCCACATTTTAAGTGGAGTCCGAGTATCATTTGGTCTATCAGAGGAGGCTCGTGTGTTGGGGACTGTGATGGCAAACAGATTTCAGCAGAACTTCCAGACTGACATAGACCAGGAAGAAAAGCCTGCAACCTAGGCTTGAAAATTAGCCGGTGAAAACCCCTTCTGGGTGACAAAGGTCTGATCCACATGCAGTCATGAAGACAGTGCGGAACTCCAGCAGGACTTCCTTCTGTTAAGCCTGAGGGGCCCACGAGCGCGGGGCTCACGTTCAGGCTCTCTTGCTGCGTGTGTAAACCAGCCTGGTAAAGGAGACCCGCAGTGCTCCAAGTGCAGTTCCCAGGCTTGGCATCAAAAATACTTCCCACACACAGCCATCTCTCACTAAACTCTACTTTGCAGATGAGCAAATAATATCTTTCTTTTTACACAAATGGTAGGTTTGTCACGAGCCTGTGTAAGGTCACTTGATCAGTGCCATTTTGCCAAGAGCACGTGCTCCCTTCCGTGTCTCTCTGTCACATCTGGTCATCTTCACAGTATTCACACTTTTTTCATAATGCTGTCGCACACTTAGACGACAAGATCGACTCAACATAATTTTATGTCCTGAGACACCAAAGGATTGGTGTGACTCAGTTGTAGTGTGATGTCTGCTTTATCAGGGCAGCTTGGTACTGAATCAGACTCTGAGGTGCGCCTGTAAGGGCCAATGGCCCATTTGCAACCAATACATCTGCTTTACACGGGGCAACAGAGACAGTCAACCATTGCAAATACTATCAGACTGTGAAAGATCGGTCACCGGCTGCCATGAAATGCTTTGGCAGTCCCTGGATGTAGACCCTGCCCAGTGCCAACTATCTAATTGCAATGCTAACCTCCCCCTCATGCCCCCCACGCGTTGGGCATTTCCCCAGGTGCCTCGTTAACACTTTCCGACCCCTACGGAATGTCACTGTGCTGTGGAAGTCCCACACAGCACTACCTACCTTACCCACCCCCCAAAATACCCAGTGAGTTAAAAACCCAGAACCACTCAGACCTCCCAGCGTTCACCTCTGCAAGTAGCCCAGACACATCTATCTGCTGTTTCATGACCAAATCGTGTGAGCTGCAGAGATCTGAAGCGATATTTTCTTGATCAAGGAAAACATTTTTCTTCATGTTATTTCTTATTTAGAAACAACCCAGCAGTGCCTAATGAAATCAAGTCCACGACTCTTAAACATCTGAATATTATTATAAAACCCAATTTGGAGCTTGTCAGACAAAAATGTGAGGAGAGAAAAAGGAAAATTTGGGTGTCATAAGTCAGAAAGACTAGTGTGGCTCAAGGTTCTATATGATCCATCGTAAATCATCAACGAGGCCCCAAATCCCATCAATATCTATTATAATGAGCACAGGTCTTCTAGGACCAAAAATTTACTACAGCTGTGGGGCTGGCCCAACCTGAGGTTTTGAAATCTTCATAATAAACATTCTGGGAGAGAAGGAAAAAAAAATATCTAGCAATCAAACACTTAAGATAAATAAGTTTAAATCACAGCCCACAAGGAGTACTAGTCTAATAGTCTTTTGTAGCTCTATACTTCTGCCTCTGCTGTCAAAGAAATTCTGGTTATCATTATTCTATTAACTAGCCCATCTGTTCCTGATACACATACCAGGATTTCATGGCAAAGGAGATCAAGAAACACCACCAAGATTAGAAAAATTGGTAACAGCTTTTTAAACATTCATGAGCTTCTTTGACCTATAAAAACTGGCCCAGCTAAGGACAGCCACGTTAAGAATCAATCACCCCTGCTAAGAGATACATATGCTCTCAGTAAAGTTCCCTAGATGACCATTAGCGTGGCCACCTGGCCTTATGCAGGGCAGCCTTTGAAGAAATCCAATCACTCCAGAGGAAGTAATATAAATAACGGTAATTTTATAGGGGAGAAGGAAGAATGGGAAAGGGGTCTTTCATTTGTGCCTTTAAATTCTCAGGCCAGTGTCCCTGCTGTGCCTCTAGCCTTTCATATGAAAGACGAAAAGAGAGGTTTCTCTTTTCTTATTTTTTAAATAAATAGACATTTTTTAAAAAAATTAAAAACGCATTAAGTAGAACTGTTCCCACTGTACAAAATTCAATCAGTAGAGTGTTCACCCAAAAACACAGGGGTTCTAGGTGGTACAAATGACAACATAAAGGTTAGCGGTTCGAATCTATCTACCCAGTAGCACCTAGAAAGAAAGGCTTAATGACCCATTTCCAAAAAAAATCACGCACCAAACACCTGATAGGGTAAAGCTTACCTTGACACACAGGTCACTAAACAGAGTCAACTCAGTGGCAAATGTCCTTTTTAGGAACCAGTGACACATTTCAAGAGCTAACTCTACCAACTGCCTACCAGCTGACCTCAGCAAAATGACTAACCAGAGCTTCAGTTTTTCAGATGCCATGTGAGATGCCAGGCGCAGATCACCTACAGGGTGGAAGCCACAGCCATGCAGAAGTGTGGTCTTATTACCCTTTATCTAGCAGGACATTCCTGCCTCTTTGGGGGGTTCTGGAAAGCTAAAGCTACCTGAGGTCAGGGCCCCTGCCCAGTGGACAGCACAGTTAACAGATGAGCGTCCTTGCTGTTGTGTTGTTATGTGTCGTCGAGTTGCTTGCGACTCATAGAACCCGAAACTCTGCTCTATCCTGTGCCAACCTTGCTGTCTCAAACACACTCATTCCCACCACTCCAGTCACAGAATCGATCCATCTCATCGAGGGTCTTCCTCTCCTGTGCCACCCCTCCACTCTCCCAAACATGATGTCCCTCTCCAAGGACCAGTCCCTCCTTGTAACATGCCCAAAGTATGTCAGATGAAGCTTCAGAATCCTTCACTTCAAGGAGAAGCCTGGCTTCACCCTCTCCACAACAGACCTGTTTGTTCTCCTAGCAGTCCATGGTGTATTCAACACTCTTCTCCAGCACCACGGCTCAAAGGCATCAATTCTCCTTCTATCATCCCTAGTCACTGTCCAACTCTTCGTAATTCTCACGTAATTGTGAAGACTATGAGCGACCTTATCCACTGATAATTTGTGGGGTATAGAGTCCCGGTGGCCTTCCATTCCAGCCTAGCCCTTCCTAGTCTGGTAAAAGAGGCAGAAAGACCCAATGCTCTTCCCAGTGACTGTTTCTTAGCCTTGTTGATAACCACTCATCGTTCCTCTCTTGAGAAGTTCACGGGCACACATGTATGAGCAGACATCATTCAACAACTGATCCTCCCTGCACCAAGGCCATATCTCATCACATCCTGTCAGCAGGGGTCAGAGTCTATGTTCTGAACCTTGAACTCTAAAGAGATGAAGACTGTAGTTCCACTCATTGTCTATCTCTTCTTTCCCCTCCACCCCCCAAATCCATCGTTCTGAACCTCTGTTGTAACGTGGCCACTTACAAAAGGTTACTGAGTGGGATAGCCTATGGTTAACAACTTTCTCTGGGAAAACAAAGCAGAAGAAACAGTCTGCCTCAGCAACAGAATCCCTCGGTGCTGCGAATGCCTTTATAACCACAGAGGTTTGAGAGCTTAAACATAAACAACCTGCCCTCTACAGATTAGGGGTGGCAGACCCCAGATTTACACCAAAGCAGTTCCCAGCTGGCACAAGTATCAATGACGCACCAGACAACTGCTTCTTCGCTCATTTGCTGAGTGTCGGCTGGTGCTGGTCTGAGATACTCCACTGCAGCTTGGCATTGACTAGAATGGAAGGGCCTTGGTCTGAAGTAGGGCTGAGGCTTTAATAGGAAAGCCCTCCTGACGATTTACACAGACCATTCGGGGGAGGAGGGGAAAATGCATTTGCCTCCTTAACTCATGAAGCATTAAGTGCTACCCAAACGTCCTCGCAAGATTAAGCATCATTCTCCCTAAATATAGAGATGAAGTAAACTGTGGAAAATCATATACCTGACGCTAACTTCTAACATTAACAGCTGTAAGATCTTGTCTCTTAGGCTGAGAATCAAGAGACGGAGTCCTAGGATGACTTTACCACCTATCATCCTCCCATTCTGTTTCAGCTTCTCCCTCTCCTGCTACGTTCCCTCCCAGCCTGGCCTTCCTAACCACCCTGCCCAGGAGACCCGGGGCTAAAGGGATGCCCACCCCCCGTCTCTGTCACTGTGCCCCACTCCACAGCACTACAAACCAGCACTGTCTACAAGCCGCTCAGCAGCTGTCAGCCCTCTCATTTTTCAAACACTGTCAAAATTCATCAAATGACATAAAGTGCTTACCTGCGTTGCTGAAGTAGTACGGCTGTCCAGGGTAACCAGCACTAGAGGAAAATATGCCTAAAGGTGAGGGAAACAAATCAATAAAAATAGCCACAAGAGGAAGGGAAACTAACTTTTTATAATGGGCACAGGCTTTCATCCGCTCATGCTTCTAACATTTGCAATGCTCATTTTGTGTGGCAATCAATGCCCACTGGTGTTTCAAACAATCTCTAAATGGGCATTAAAGTTCGCTTCCTTTTGGTCTGGGCCTGCACTATACAGAACAGAATAGAATGTACAGGGTGGGGGGCTATCAGGCCCTACTTTACATCCTGGAGTCTCCAGGGAGTGAAAACCGCTAACTGAAGGTCGGCAGTTCAAGTCCATTCAGGGGTGCTTTGGAAGAGACACGGAGCAGCCCATTTTGGCAAGATCAGCCATTGCGGGGGGGTCACCATGAGTGAGAGCTGACTCCATGGCAATTGGGGGGGGTGTTAGGGGGTGCAGGGGTGGTACGTGTGTTGTTTGCAAGTCTTTCTAGGTATCTCTTGATACAAAGGCAAGTCTTTGCTCTCCAAAGCTCCAAGCTTAGGCTTTGACACCTAGGCTCAAGCAGATCTTGTTGCTACAGAGAGAACCCTGCCCGACAAGGGTGCCAGGGTGCCATACTTCTCACCCTCGCTAATGCCCTCGCCTTTCTTATCTCCAAGGACAGTAAACCAAGAGTGTCTCAAGAAGGCGCCACCGGCTCATGATGACCCTCAGAAGGTCTCTGAGTCTTTATAGGTGGAGAATGACCACCTTTCTCTCACGGAGCAGTGGGGTTCAATCCGTTGAACTCACAGCCCAACTCTCAACTTGCTGTACCACCTGGTCTCCCAAGGTGAGCAGGAAACTCAGCTCTGTGGAACAGGGACGAGGGAGAGGGGACAGGGCACCCTGCACTCGATGTACCCCTCTCCGGAGTCATCGGACACCAGCCTTCCCAGGCTTGGTGACAGCCCACCAGGCTCTCCGTCCCCTCTCCTCTCCCTTCTCTCCAGGCCCTTTCAAGGAAATGGGGCCTGTCGGGCTGTTCACCAGCAGTACCGGATGTGGGATTCAGCTTTCAGTAGCTCAGTTGTTCCTGGGCTTCGAAAACAGGATGGTTTAAAATGAACTCTCTAAAGAAAATGGGTATGGCGATTTATTTAAGAAGAAAATCTATGTAAGAGTTCATGTTATAATGGGCAGGGGAAGGACCTCCCCTGGAAACAGTGCTCTGGGCTGAACGCAGCAGCGCGTCTGCTGAAGCTTTACACCCCATCCTCTGAGGCGGGCTCAGAAAAATGAAACCGGGCACTAAACTCCTGAGAGTCATGTCTCTCCCTCCACCAGCACTGAGAGCGAGCTCAGGGGAAGATTTCCATTTTAAAGTTTACTGAAATGTGATGAAAGCGGGCATTTTCAGTAAGCGATGCTCCCGCTGCCGCCTCGAAGCGCCCACGCTGGGAACAGCAGAAAGCAAACACAGGAAAGTAGGATTCGAACTAGAGGCTGCACAGCCTCCCAAAATCGTCCTTAACCGAGTGTGCTGGCTAGTAGAGGGGACAGTGCGGAACCAAGGGAGCGCTCCGAAATCATGAATATTATATGGCTCTCCAGAACCCCAGTCGTTGGTACAAACTGTGAAAACAAATTATTTATGGTTCAAGAGAAGGTAAAATAGTCTCGGAAGGCTTCCCATGAATAAAAGATGAACCCGCGTGGTCTGCAAGACAAGTGTGAGCAGAGCCATTTCCTTACGTGTTGAGACCAGCACAGCGTCTTAAATTAAGAGGTGTTAAAAAAAAAAAAGCAAGCATCCATTTTTACATAAAATAAAGCCTGGCCATTGAGCCTCAGTTTGAAGGGAAACAAGGACAGTAAAGATAATTACATAAATAAGGAGAAAGGAGGAGCCAAGCACCCGCACTCGGCCTCAGTTTTAAGACATGTGGGAATATTAACCTGACAGTCCGAGTTCCCATCCCTGAAACTGCGAGTGGTGCCCACCAGTAAACACTGTTTGATCTTCCACATGTATTTTTTCACAGAATATTCTAGAGGAAGGCATTCTTTTAAGCTCACTTGAAGTTGCTGCACTTTTGGGGACTTCGTGGGTGTTATGTGAATAGCATTAAACCTCAGGGAGTAAAGATACGTCACTGGTGGTTCCCAAAGAAAGCCTAACACGTGACCTTTGGGGTTTGCAGTCTGCTCTTGGGGAGTCAGGAACTGTAGCAGCTATTGTACCTCTTGGCTGGAAAAAAAGGAAAAAGCACGTTGAGAGAGTGCTACAGGGTCCCCGGGAAACTTGGGGATCTGCCTGCTCAGGATAAAACAAAGATGGGCCCCCGCCTCGCCGAGGGGAAGGCGCTGGCTCTGTACCTGCACATGCCTCCATGACTGTCTTCAGCGGCCCCTGTGTGTACATCAGCCCCACGAGGATGCCGGCCAGGTGTCCCGCGAAGGAAGTCCTAGGAGACAAGGAGGCTCCGGTCAGTGGATGCTGGCTGCCGAGGAGATGCTGGCTGCTCGTTCGGCCAGGACATGTCAGTCACTGTCCATCAGTCACGGTCTGCAGGCTGTGCTCCACCCACACCCTGCCCCAGATGCTGAGCAACGTTTAACTCAGCTCAAAGAACAACATTTCTCACCCCAAAACTAAAGCACAATGAGTGTAAAAAAAAAGTCACACATGTTCAAGAACACTTGTATCCCAAGAGAAGTGGGGTGGCCTGACTCCTCCAGTACAACGGAAGCACTCTGTCAAGACAGCCCACTCTTCTGCTGTCCAGCTTTTCTGTGTCCTTGAAAAAAGAGGAAAGAAAAAAAAGTTCTTCAAGTTCATGTCTGTTGAGTCAGAACTGATTCATAACTAACCCTCCATCAAGTTTCCAAGGCTGCAATGAGCATGAGGAAACACCGCCTCTCCTTCTCACTCGGAGCTGCAGGTGGGGAGACAGGCATCACTGACAGCGGCTTCCTCTGCTCAGAAGGAAATCCTTAATGACCGGCCACCACAAGGAACACTGTCTGTGCTCCCTGAAGAGAAGGTGGCTGCCTCTGTACACATGACTGAGAAATGACGCAGAAAGCAAGAAAGATGAGGTCCAGGGAGCTGCCAAGTCCACACCTGGGGCCCCACAGTGGTCTTTATGTTAGCTGACCAGTCTGTTTGACAAAAGACACCTGAAAACTTAAACATCAACTCAGAAGGTGAGCTAGGGCATAGAGGGCACTGCGGTACAAGTCTCCTGTTTGTGCCTCAGTTCTCATATTCTCAGGGTATATTCCAAGCAGCAGAAGGTTGAGTCATAGGGAATTTCTATGTTCAGCTTTTTGAGGAAGTGCCAAACTGCCTTCCCGAATGGTTACAATCCCACCAACAATGTATAAGAGTTCCTTTTTTTGTCACAGACTCTCCGACACTTATTACTTGCTGTCCCGATAAACTTTGCCACTGCTACTGGAGTGAGATGGTATCTCATTGTGTTTTTGATTTGCATCTCTCTTATTGCCAGTGTTTTTGGAGCATTTCTTCATGTGTCTGTTCTTATTAGGGACCATAGAGTCTGCTCCGACTCTAAGTGACCCCTATGTACAAGAGCCAAACTTGGCCTGATCCTGTGCCACGCTGACAATGTCTGACATGCCACTCCAGCACAGCTGGGCAGTGTACTTATTTGCATCCCAGAGGTGCGGAGTGTTTAAGGAGCCCGATATGAACACCATGAGTGTTTCCCAAACACCATGTATGTTTTCCAAACATGTAGAGAAGTGCACTGTGTGATGAAGGGATGGTCTGGCCCCTAGGATGCTTTGTATGGCCATCAAGAGTCAAGTTTGAGCCCCTTGCACGTCAACTCAGAGTGCTCGCTGAGACAGCTTACTTAGTGATTAGAATGCAACATTCAATGATCTGTATATGTGACTTGGAACCAACTCTCATAGGAGGATTTTTCTCTAGCATCAAATATTTCCCACAAAGAGTCATCTGAACAATTTAGTGGTTCTTATTATTTCATTTAGAGAGGGAAAAGTTTATGGTTGGACATCTGGGCTGTTTCCATGTTCTTGCAATAGTGAGTAACGCTGCTATGAATATTGGGGTACAGATCTCCGTTTGTGCTTCAGTTCTCATTTTCTCAAGGTATATTCCCAGTAGCAGAATAGCTGGATCATATGAAATTTCTATGTTTGGCTTTTTGAGGAAGCTTCAAACTGCCTTCCAGAGTCATTGTACCATTTTACAATCCCACCAACAATGTATAAGAGTTCCTTTCTCACCACATCCTCTCCAACATTTATTACTTGCTGCCGTGTTAAACTTTGCCACTCTTACTGGAGTGAGATGGTACCTCATTGTGGTTTTGATTTGTATCTCACTGCCAGTGATTTGGAGCATTTCTTCATGTGTCTGTTTGCCATTTGATTATCTTCCTCTGTGACAATTCTTTGCATGTCTTTTGCCCATTCTGTAATTGGGTTATCAGTCTTTTTCTTGTGAGAGCCCAGGAGTAGTCTGTACACTTTTATTATGAGACTCAAAGGAATAGATCGAGAAATTTTGGTATGTTCACACAATGGAATAATACACAGTGTGCAGGAGCAATGATTTTGTAAATTACTACCTAACTTGGGAGGGACTGGAGAGCATTATGCTGAGTGAACTAACTCAGTCCCACAAGGAAAATATAAAACCATATATAAGGATCCAAGGCAGGGGAAGTGGAAGCAGAGGGACGAGGATGTGCAGGAGGCTGGGGGATTAATCATGGAGTTGTACACTTTGATGGGTGGGGGTGAGGGAAGTTAGAAGAATCTGTTCTCGAAAACAATATATTTGAATTTTTTTAAAAAAAACAACTATAATTTAAAAAAAATAAACTGTAAGAGAGAAGTTAGGGAACGTTATTCTTCTCAATTCTTCTGTAAAACTAAAATTCTTCTTAAAAATAAAAAAAAATAAATAAAGAGGGAAAAGTTCCTGAGACCTCAGGTTACAAAATATTTTCATGGCTCCACAATTATGCAAAGATTTGCTGATGCGGAAGAAAAGAACAGACAGTGTAAGAGGAACGCTTGAGAGACCGAGACAGAAGTTTTCTGTGAATAAGACAATATCGTACCTTGGCGCACTTGTTGTTATGTACTGTAGAGTCAGAACCAATAAAAGCTGACCCTCAGAGGGTTTTCAGAGGCAGTAAATCACACAGGCGGAGCCTGTCTGTCTTTCTTTCATGAAGCAGCTGTGGAATCGAACCACATGCCTTTGGGCTGGAAGTGCAACTCCTTACAACTAAGTCACCTTGGCCCCTTAGCCAATTAAATCACACCACTGCTCAAACACATATGGTATATCTCAGGAAGAAACAGCTGAACAAATTCAAGTCTCAAGTTGCAATACCGAGTAATTCTATGGGTAAATCTGTAGGAAGCACCACAAGAAGATGGAAGGAATACACAGAATCATCATGGAAGGAATACACAAAATCACCGTACCAAAAAAGAACTGGTCAATACTGAACCATTTCAGGAAGTAGCACATAAACAAAAACCAAGAGAATGGAAAAAAAAAATCCATCTGTACTGAAAACATAAATAACTAAAAACAATGCTCCAGGATTTGACAGTCTATCAATGACTATCCATTTCAAGAAACAGACACAATGCTGGATGTGATGACTCATCTACACCAAGAAAGCTGGAAAGACAGCTACCTGGCCAACTGATTGGAAAAGATCCATGTATGTGTCCACTCCAAAGAAAATATAATCAATATCACGTGCAAGTAAAATTCTGCTGCAGAGAACTGCTGGAAGTCCAGGCTGGGTTTAGAAGGGGTCGTGGTACTAGGGATATTGTTGCTGATGTTAGATGGATCTTGGCTGAAAGCAGAGAATACCAGAAGAATGTCTATCTGTGGTTCATTGATTATGCAAAGGCATTTGACTGTGTGGATCATGACAAACTGTGGCTGACTCTGAGAAGAATGGGAATCCCAGAACATTTAATTGTGCTAATACGAAACCTATACTTAGACCAAGAGGCAGTAGTCAGAACAGAGCAGGGTAACACTGCATGGTTCAAAATTGGGAAGGGTGTACGCCAGGGATGCATCCTGTCTCCATACCTTTTCAACATGTATGCAGAGCAGATTATCCGAGAGGCTGGGCTCTATGAGGAGAATTGTGGCATCAGGACTGGGGGAAGATCTATTAACAATCTCCATTATGCAGATGACACAAACCTGCTTACTGAAACTGAGGAGGACCTCATGCACTTGCTGCGAAGGGTCAAGGACTGCAGCCTTCAGTATGGACTGAGGCTCAATGTCAAGAAGACAAAGATTCTCACCACTGGACCAATTGGCAGCGTCAGGATGGATGACGAAGAGATTGAGAGTGTTCACAGCTTCAGTTTGCTCGGCTCCACGGTCAACACTCTTGGCACCAGCAGTCAGGAAATCAAAAAGCGTATCGCGATGGGAAAGTCTGCTGTTAGGGACCTCTCAAAGGTACTCAGGAGCAACAGTGTCTCTCTGGAGACTAAGGTGCGCCTGATACAGGCCATGGTCTTTGCAATCGCTTGTTATGCATCAGAGAGTTGGACAATGACTAGGGAGGACAGAAGGAGAGTGGATGCTTTTGAGCTGTGGTGCTGGAGAAGAGTACTGAATGTACCATGGACTGCCAGGAAACCAAATAGATTCATCTTGGAGAGGATTAAACCAAGCTACTCCTTGGAGGCAAGGATTCTGGGGCTTCATCTGACATACTTTGGACATGTTGCCAGGAGGGACGGGTCCTTGGAGAGGAACATCATGCTTGGGAGGGTGGAGTGACAGCGCAGGAGGGGAAGACCCTCTATGAGATGGATTGATTCGGTGACTGGGGTAATTGGGATGGGTGTGTCAGAGGTGGTGCGGTTGGCGCAGGATAGAGCAGGGTTTAGGCCTGTTGTGCATAGGGTCGCTATGAGTCGGAAACGACTCGACGGTACATAACAACAACAACAACAGCAATAGAATACCTACTGGGAACTGTCGGAAATTCAAGCTGGAGTCAAGAGAGAGGGAACAAGGGGCATACTGCTGATGCAGCTGGACATTGTCTGAAAGCAGAGAATGCTAGAAAGTGGGTTATCTGTGCTTTACTGACTATGCAAATGCATTTGACTATATGGAATAAGAGAAAATTACAGATAACATCCAAAGAAAGAAAGGTCCAGAACACTTAATTTTGCTCAGGTACAATCTGCTCATACACCAAAAAGCAGCTGTTAAACAGAAGAAGGACTGTGGCCTTTCACCGTAGTTATTCAATTTGTATTTTGAGCAAATAATTCAAGAACTGAACCAAGCAAAAGAACTCAGCTGCACCATTAGAGAAAGACTCATTAACGCTGTGTGTGATACAGATGATAAAATGAAGATTATCTGGGATTGACACAGTGTCTGAGGCAACGGACTCAA